CATTTCAATGTGGCAGCCCTGCCTCTTTGAAGTACCTCCTCTTCCCCCTCCCTTTACTGCTGGCAGGGAGAGGCTGACCCTGCCCTGGCCCTGGCCCTCCCCCAGGACCCACCTTCTTCCCTCACCAGAATTCCTCTTCCTGTAACTGCTAGCCTCGACTGTTAAGTGAACAACATGTAGAACTTCCCCCCCATGTCTCCCTTCCCAAGCTCTGGGCAGTTAGGCCAGAGGTGTGTGGTGGATGCCCACTCCAGCCAGAGCCGGAGCCTGCCCGTGTGTGTGCTGGGGGGGGGGGGGTCCCGCCAGCTGCAGCCATGCCCATGAAGGGCCGCTTCCCCATCTGCAGGACCCTGCAGTACTTGAGCCAGGGCAAGGTCATCTTCAAAAGCTCGGTGAAGGTGCTGACTGAATTACAACACCCATGGGGAGCTGAGGAAGGGGGCCAGGAAATGTGTTTTTCAACATCCCCCAGATTCAGTACAAAACCCTTTGGGTGCAGATCATGATGTTTAGGAACATGACCCCTTTGCCATTCCTAAGGTTCTACTTAGATAGTGGTGAGCAAGTCTTGTTTGATGTGGAAGGTAAAAAGCAACAAAGAGATAGTGGGTTAAAGCAAGGAAACACTACAAAAAGAGGAGCAAGACGAAAAGAAGCTTTCTCTTCCTGCAACCTTTGGACCCAAAAAATATCACTTGCGTGAATGTGTGTGTGAAATTGAAGGCCAGATTCCCTGCCCTGGTCTAGTACCGCTGTCTAAAGGGATGACAGGCAAATATAAAGGCACCATGAAAGAAAAAACACATTGATTTAACAGATCAGGCACTTCTGCTGCCATTCAAGATGCAGACAGTCATAGGATACAGGGTGCTTCAGTAACTGAGGCAGACTTCTCAGTGTCATCTCCCTTCCCCCTCTCCGTCCCCCCGCCCCCAAAACCTGGTCCATTTGATTAGAAGGAAGTCCTTGATTCAGAGGTGGTTGGACCCACTAATACTGGTCAGACATGTGGAAAGACATTTTTAAATAAATTTCCTACTGGGTAGGGGACATGTGGCTCCCAAACCCTAGTGCCTCCATCTTCCCCAAGCACAGGCCAGGTGGCACAGCTCTCCTAGTTGTCCTACCCTTCCAAACATGGGGATACTTGGGGGCCCCCAGCACTTGGTGGCCCCAGCCACCCCAAGTCCTGGCTTCCCCAGCACACTTCCCTAAAGCCTGGGGTGAGGCAACAGGGAACGGGAAGCAGGAGCGGGGTTCGGAGAAGATCATGGATGGGACCATGCTGGGCTGTTGGGGAAGGCACAGCCTTTTCCACCCTATAGGATGCATTGCCCTTGTTCCAGGGCCCAATCAATAGTTGTACCAGGCATTGTACAAACTCAGAAACAGGTTTGCTTCCCTGAAGAATTACAATTCTGGGAAAATGGGAGAGATGTGCACTACATAGGGACACATCCGCTTCCTTTCACCTTTGATTGAAGAGCACTCATTTCTGGAATTCCACTCCCCTCCCTGGTCTGTCAGCATCTGAAATTGTTAACTTTTCCTCCAATCAACAAAGTCTGTCTCTTAGGCCACAGCTTTGCTCATGCAGCCACACTACTATAAGACTGTGTAGTCGCTCTATACTGACAGTGGGGATCTCACATGTCAACCATATCAACGTATGGCAGTAACTATGCTAGTGGGTGAAGCTCTCCAGCAGACATAGTACTATGCATAATACCAATTATGCCAGCAAAATTTATATTGTTTGTTTTTCATGCCACTGAGCGTCATAATTTTTGCCAGCATCAGTGGTAGTATAGATATGTCATACTCTGGTTAGTAACCCTGCCATAGTATTTACACTGCTATAGTTACCCGCGTTAGCTAAATTTTAGTATGGGTATGGCTGCCTTTACTAACACCTTTCTTTACTTGCAGTGTAGCTGTATCGTGGGGAGAAAGTGGGCTAAATATTTAAGAGCTGTGGTTTTCTTTTGGCATTCTAGTAGGTTTTATTTTATTGGTGAATAAATATTAACATTTGGGTGATAAAATTGTTTTCCTTAGTGTTATGTATCTTAAATTTTAATTTGTTTTGGAAAGGTGCTTGAAAGATTGAAATAGATTTATTTTATATTTATGACTTGCTTCATTGTAAATTTTACTAAGAATGTGCTTGTTCAGATCTGAGGGACATGGAGAGAGGGTATGTAGTATATATGCATCAAAAAGCAAAAAACTTGACAATCTTCATGCTTTGTTTCTGTGCAGATTTTCACTGTTGACGTTCTTATTTTGAAAGATTAAAAACAGTGATTTGGCATATTGTCATACATAAAGTTTCTTTTTTAGATAGGCAACGTGGCACTGAACAAATGCAGTGTAGCGAGATCTTTCACCCTAATAGCATTTGGAATTTTAAGAGTGTTCATTTGCAGTACATGCTAGCTGATTTAAGCCTCTTCTGCATGTCTTAGGGAGTGGAATGGTATTTGAAAATATACAAATTGTGGCCAAGTTGCATATTGAATTTATTTTTACAAGAAATTTAAATTATTAATTCTTCAATTTATCTCTTGTAGGAAATATCTTGAAAACATAACGGCAGTTGGTCCCAGGACAGTTGGAAGTCCAGAAAATGAAATTCTCACAGTTAACTACCTCTTAGAACAAATTAAGGCTATTGAAATCGAAAGCAGTGTTGCACACAAGATTTCTATAGATATACAGAGGCCAACAGGTTCCTTCAGCATTGACTTCTTAGGTGGTTTTACCAGTTACTATGCAAACATAACTAATGTCGTGGTTAAGCTAGAGCCCCGAAGTGGAGCTAAACATGCTGTGCTATCCAATTGTCACTTTGACTCTGTACCAAACACCCCAGGTAGGTGCCTTTACTTACCTTTGTTGAGTTCTTGTTTTCTTAATATGACAATTTGTATTTGTTTTAAAGGAGGCTGTTGATATAACAGGAAGTACAGAGTGTTGTGGAATGAAGTTAATCAAAGGGACACAGTAATATTAGGTTATAAAATATATTGAGAAGGATAGAATTGGTTGTGCTGGTGGGCAAGTGGTACTATATGTGAAAGAAAGTATAGAATCAAATGAAGTAAAAATCTTAAAAGATCCAAACTGTACCCTAGAATACCTATGGATAGTAATCCCGTGCTTTAATAATAAGAATATAGTAACGAAGATATATTATCAGCCACCAGACCAGGATGGTGATAGTGAGGGTGAATGCTCAGGGAGATTAGAGAGGGTATTAAAATGAACTCAATAATAATGGGGAAGAATGAGCTATTGGATTACTTGGGAGCCTTTTTTGATTTGGTGACATTGATTTTCATAACCTCTCATCTGTTTAAAGGGTGGTATTAGTGGTGGCACATAAGAACTGGAGTGTCTAAGGCAGGAGTGGATGAAAGGGGGTGAGCGGCCCTGCCTCTCCCCCGCCCCCAGGTCAATTAGGGCCAAAATGCGTGGGAAAGCACACAACGTTTCTTCTGCCCTGCCAAGAGCACACAGTACCACTTGCTCCTGGCAGGGTGGGAGAAGGCTTTGCGTGCTTCCCCACCCCCAAGCCCTGATTGGCTTGGAAGCAGAAAAGGGAGCATGCAAAGTCTCCTCCCACTGCCAGGAGCATGGGTATGTATGTGGGGGGCCCTAAGGTGCTCCCCCACCCCCAAACTAATCATGGTCTGTGGGTGGGAAGCAGGAAGTGTCCTGGCCTCGCCCCTTCCACTCGATGCCCTGCCCCTTTCGGTGCGGCCCGGGCCCACTTCAAAAATTTTGGAAGTGGCCCCCGGCAAAAAATTATTGTCCACCCTGGTCTAAGGTCACTGCTTGTATGACTTCTTCCTAGCAAGTGTGGTGAATAGACATATGACTGGTTTGGTATGCATTATAGTGGAGAACCTCCAGTCTTGGGCTTTAAGTAGCCCTGTCTCTAAGAAATTTGCCCTGAATTGACACACTCAGCAGTACCCCCCAAACCTTTCTTTATTATAGTGGCGTAGTCTGGTTTTTATCCACAGAACCTTTGGATAAAAACTAATGATAAAATGCAGTTAATTGACTAGTCGATAAGCACTTCCACATTCCTCCCTTGAAATCCTATAGATATTTCAGCTTGGGCCCTCTAAATTAGTGGAAACATTTTTCTTTAATCTTTGTGCCTTATTTTCCACATTTTCAAAACAGGGATAACATCCCCTCACTTCTTGGTTGTGTGTTGTGAGAATGGATTAATATTTTGTGAAGCACTCTGATACTGTTGTGATGAGCTCTATAGAAAAAACCTGTGAGGACATTAAGTAATTTTGTCTTCAAAGTAGGGATGTTAAATATCGGTTAATTGAGTAGTTGAGTGACCTCATGAATTCTTATCACTTAGTCGATTATTTTATAGTCCCTGGGGGTGGGGCCGGCAGCTACACAGGGTGCCAAGCAGGAGCTAGTCCATGAGGGGAACCAGTTTAAAAAACAGCTCCTCTTGCAGACCAGCTGCTTGTCTCCCTTTGCTGCTGCCTCTGATAAAGAGGCAGCAGTGTGGGGAGGCAGAAGCCCCTGTTGGGGAGGGGAGCATCTGAGCTCCTGAACCCAGCTTAAACCAGAACTAAGCCAGGCTGCCTGCTCACCTGGCTCCTAATATACTTTAAATACAGAGCCACATCGGGAGTAGGTTCTGGACCCGGCATGAGCCAGAACTGAGCTGGGCTACTGGACACCCTCCTAAAAAATTTACTGGTTGAGGGAGGAGGGAAATGTGTGTAGTCTGTAGCAGTGTTTCTCAACCAGTGGTACGAGTACCCTTAGGGGTACTCGAGAGAAATCCTGGGGGTACATCAACACAACTGAAATTTGGAGAAAACTGAATTTTTGTGTTAAGTTTTATAGCGCTTTATTATTTTTGTACTTTTTATACCCAAAAATTTCATCGCCCGCCCTGCTACTGTTAAGTTGTTTAAACAAATGTGTTGCAATGGTAGAAAAAAATGTTGTGTGTCTGAAAACTATAGGTATTGGGGGTACTTATAATTTTTTTTTGGAAAAAGGGGTACTTTATCAAAAAAAAAAAGTTGAGAAACACTGGTCTAGACTGCAAGCTTCTGGTTAATCAACTACACTATTACATCCCTACTTCAAAGCAGTTTTGAATAATGTTCAAAAAATGAGTGTGGCCATATATTGAACCATGAGGAGCAAACAAAATATTGACTAGTTTATCCTGTGCACTGAATGAGGCAGAGCCTTGAAGAAAAGATATTATGTAATTAAGTACTATGAATGAATATTCATATACAACCTTATTTCTGGCACTTTATAACTTTTGAGTACTTAACTTTGCAACCTTAGTAATGTTTTGATGTAGGTTTTTTGTATGTAATTATTAGGGCTTTCAAGTGATTAATAATTAATCATGATTAATCGTGTTGTTAAAAATAGAATACTAGGTAGCTGCGCCCCCTGTTCACTACACTTGCCAACCCCCCCTTTCTGGGGTAGGTATCTGGCTTGGGAAGAGGGTTCAGGGGAGGGGAGCAGGAGTGGTCTGGGGTTGTGGGGTCTCAGCAGAAGGTTGATGGGTCTGGGAGTGTTGGGCTCAGATGGTGGAGGGGACCTGGCCCCAGCAGCTTCTCCCTGGAAGTGCAGCCTCCCCAGCGGCACAGCCCCCCCAGGGTGTGAAGTGGGAGAAGGAGCTGGAGCTGCCCATGCCTGGAAGGGACAGCGCTGAGGCTGGCCACAGCAAGCTGCTGACAGTGGAGGCGGGCAGCAGAGTGAAATGACCAATGACACGATGACATCATTCAGTTATCCCATAGGAAAATATATAAAGAGAAAGAGAGAGAGACTATTAAAATATTTTTAGATGTTTTGTACATTTTCAGATATTGATTTTGATTGCAACACAAAATACAATGTATTTATTTTTGTATTACAAATATTTCATTGTAAAAAATAGTATTTTTCAATTTGTGTAATACCAGTACCGTAGTGCAATCTCTTTATCATGAAAGTAGAACTTACAAATATAGAATTTTGTACCAAAAATAACTGGATTCAAAAACAAAACAATGTAAAACTTGGTCTTACTTGTTCAACCAATTGCTCAAACAAGTTTGTTTGCATTTGTAGAAGTTAATGCTGCCCTCTTATCTACAATATCACCTGAACATGAGAACAGGCATTCACATTGCACTTTTGTAGCTGATGTTACAAGATATTTGCATGCTGGATGTGCTAAAGATTCATATGTCCCTTTGTGCTTAAACCACCATTCAAGAGGTCATATGGCCATGCTGATAATGAATTCTGCTTGATAGTGATGCAAAGCAGTATAGATAGATGCATGTTCGTTTTCATCATTAAGTCAGATGCTACCATGAGGAGGTTGATTTTCTTTTTTTTGGTGATTTGGGTTCTGTAGTTTCCACATTACAGTGATACTCTTTTAACACTCTTGAATGCATGCTTTACACCTCATTCTTCTTAGATTTTGGAAGGCACTTCAGATTCTTAAACCTTGGATTGAGTGCTGTAGCAATCTCACATTGGTACCTTCTTTGTATTTTGTTAAATCTGCAGTTAAGTGTTCTATAAACAAACAACATGTGCTGGGTCATCGCCTGAGATTGCTATAACATGAAATAAATTTAAAGAATTTAGGTAAAACAGAGCAGGTGACATAGTTCTCACCCCAAGGAATTCAGTCACAAATGTAATGCATTTTTTTAAACAAACATCATTAGCATGGAAGCATGTCCTCTAGAATGGTGGCTGAAGTATGAAGGGGCATATGAATATTAAGCATCTCTGGAGTGTAAATGGTTTGCAGTGCCAGCTACAAAAGTGTCATACAAAAACCTGTTATTACTTCAGAAGACATAAATAAAAGAGCAGCATTATCTGATATAAATATAAACAAACTTGTATATCTTAGCAATTGGCTGAGCAAGATGTAGGACTGAGTGGACTTGTAGGCTCTAAAGCTTTACATTTTGTTTTTAGTGCAGTTCTGTAACAAAAAACATCTACATTTCTAAGTTGTACTTTCACAATAAAGAGATTGCTCTACACTATTAATATGAAGTGAACTGAAAAATATTTCTTTTGTTCATAAATAATATAAAGGGAGTACTGCATACTTCGTATTCTCTGTTGTAATTGAAATCAATATATTTGAAAATGGAGAAAAACATCTGGTTTTAATTTTCTTCCCCATTGCTATAGGAGACATGTACAAATACAGGAAACTGATTGTGGAAGGGGAAATACTGAAACTTTATTTGTTTGCACATTGGGTATTATCAAAATAAAATAATAAAAAAGAATAATATAATATTAAAACTTTTTGTGTAGTCTTATGTTATGTCACTTGTAACAATTTTCAGAAATGTCTAAATAGTTAAGGGTCTAATCAAGGATATAGGTTTTAACAGTGCTTGTTTTGTTAAAAAAAATGTTCTGGTACTAGGGTTCCAATGGTTTTGTCAAGCAAAAAAAAAAAAAAAAAATCAATCCCCCCAGAAAATAATAAAAAAAAATTTCAAACAGTGTGCCAGGGGAAAAAACAGCCCCTGGGAAAACTTGTTGAGCAAAAAAAACCCTATTCTAACTGTTATCTATTCTGTTTCACTTAAGGTGCCAGTGATGATGCTGTTAGTTGCTCAGTGATGCTGGAAATACTGAACCCTCTTTCAAAGTCATCTGATCCCTTGCAACATGCTGTCATATTCCTTTTTAACGGTGCCGAAGAAAGCATTTTGCAGGTAGGATTAATTAGCATAAAACATGCATAATCAGAACCCTGAATTAATGATTGACAAAGTTAATGGCAAGTATAGATATGATTTGCATTTTACAAAACCTAAATCTCAATTACAGATGTTAATCTTTTCAGTTATCTGTGAGAAAAAGCTAATTGCTACTTAAAATTAAATTTATACTCAAATTTTGGGTGGTCACAATGTTACAGCTTTAATGACTGGGTTCCTTAATGTTGCAGGTCAGATGCAGCATTGTGTGTTGCTCAGAGTAAAGGACCGAGAATCTCAATTCTTGTTTTCTACTTCCAACTTGCACTTCTCTGCATTATACACACTTGTTTTCAGATGGGTGCTATACTTAATTCACAGACTTAATATTTATAAATCTTTTGATTTCCTATGATAGTAGGTATAGAAATGCAAATTGATTATTTTATTTGTATGCTGTAAAGCTCTTTTCATTACCCTGGGCAAGTCACAAATTGATGTTATAGCCATTCATTTCCTCCTTTCCATATGTATGGTAAGACTGTGTGGTTCATGCAACTGCAGTAATTCCTCATTTAACACAGTAGATACATTTCAGAAAATGATCGTGCTAAGTGAAAACATGTTATGTGGGGTCAATTTTCCCATTGAAAATAATGGAAAAGGTGGGGGTTGCGTTTCAAGCACACCTGTGCTCGCAGCTCCAGCCTGCACTTATTAGCAGGGTTATAGCAGGGAGGGGAGGTGTTTGGCTCTGGAGAAAAGAAGAAAAGGGCAGGGGAGGGGGCTTGCAGCCGGCGGCTGGGTTTCCCCAGCTGGCGGGTCACTGGCAGCTGCACGGGGCTTCCTCTTCCTCCTTACAAAACGGTGGAGGTTTGCCGCTCGCAGTGCAGTTCCCCGGTGATCCCCTCTGGCCAGATGCCTTGCGTCAGGCCAGAGGGAGTCACCGGGGAACGGTGCTGCGAGCAGCAACCCTCTGCCGCTTTGCAGGTAGGCCGGGGAAGCCTCACACAGCTGCTGGCCACTGGCCAGGCTAAGGGGAAATCATGTTGTTGCAGGGACATGGTCGTGTTGTTTGAAAAATGTTCCCTTAAAAAAAAAAAACCCCGTGCTATTGCAAAAATGTGTTAAGCAGGCATGTGTTAAGTGAGGAATTACGGTATAACATTTAGTCAGTGAAAGTTAACAGACCTTGTAATTCTAAAGATTCATATACTGTACAGGCATGATTGTCACTTAGATTCAGGCCACTTTTACATCATTCTGGAAGTGAAAGTGATGTTAGTGCTCAGTTTACATTTACACTGCAAGTCTATCCGTACTAGTGTATTGATAGGGAAGTCTATGTTGTAATATATGGTTCTTCATTTATAATTTAGGAAGAACAATATTTTTAGTAAGATAGTAGTTATTACTTAAATACATTTTGTTTTGTCATTATAACAAAAACAAACTATGCTCAACTAGATCTTAAACTTTCTACTTATGCTAAACTATTGTTTGTAGGCATTTTAGCTTGTAACCTCTTTGGGACAAAGACTGTGTGTCTGTGATTGTTCAGGGCCTGGCTGATTGGGCTCTATAGTATATAATACATATTAATAGTAGTTATTACTTAAATACATTTTGTTTTGTCATTATAACAAAAACAAACTATGCTCAACTAGATCTTAAACTTTCTACTTATGCTAAACTATTGTTTGTAGGCATTTTAGCTTGTAACCTCTTTGGGACAAAGACTGTGTGTCTGTGATTGTTCAGGGCCTGGCTGATTGGGCTCTATAGTATATAATACATATTAAATAATATTTGGATCGGACATGAAACAATGAGCATGAACATAAAAGTTGTTGAGAGGAACGTAATATCCCATTTAATCAGTTAGCTAGTTAAATGTATTGTTTAACCGGTTAACTGCTTAAATTGGGGCAGGTGGAGGGGCCACTCTAGCTCGATGGGCTGGAGCAGCACCCTGACACAGGTAGACGCTACTCTGACTGGGCTGGAGCAGCTGCTGTTACAGTTAACTGTCGGGGGCTGGAACTGGTAAGCATTACTTGGTAAAGGTGATGCTAACTGATTAACCATTCATATTCTTAGTGGTTCAGGGCATGAACAAAGATGAAACATCTTGTGGTGGTGTTATGGACATGACACCACTGTTACAGCTGGATGAATTCTCTTATGTTGATGGTTCCTCTTCTCTTGCCCTCAAGTACATTTCTGGCCTCACCTGCAGTGCACCTATGATCTTCCCCTGTCAAAATCTGAATTCCAGATGCTTCTGATGGAAAATTACCTCTAGGCTTTGTTTTAAAAATATTTGACCTATATCTTTTCTTCCTGTCAAGGCGAGTCATGGCTTCATTACACAACACCGCTGGGCCAAGTCGATTAAAGCATTTATCAACCTGCTTGTATTTCAAACAGGTATGATCATGCATTAAGCTTCCCACTTGTATGTATGGGGTAGTTGTGTTTCATTTAGAACAAAAAATTAAACAAACAAAATATAAAACTTTATTATTAGAAACAAGCTTTTTAAATAACATTGAAACTGGCCCAGGAGGTCAATGAGAGGAAACTTCACACCATACAGAATCCCCATCTTATCCTTACTTTATGGATAATGAATTATTATATGGGTTTAATTACTCTAAGGCTATGGCACAAGCAGAGAGACAGACTCTTCTTGTAGACATAGATAGGTGTGCTGCTGTAGTACGTGTAGACACATCCTTATTGAGAATCTAAAGGAGCTTGGTCTTACAATTGACAGGTAACTGCTTTTGCTGTTATATATACCCTGGACTCCATTCCAGCTCATCTGATGAAGTGGGTTTTACCCATGAAAGCTCATGATATAGTTGTTAATCTGTAAGGTGCCACAGGACTGCTGCTTGTTCCTTCAAGTTAGGTATTTTTAATCATAGAGGCCATGGCTTTCAAACTCAACGTAATAAAGCTATGATCCTGATAAAACTCCTGTTTCTGTTGTGTTTCTGTCCACTTCGAATCTGGTTTACTGTCCTTACTCTCAGTCTTGTGCTGTTATACAGCAGCATATCTGAGATATTAATTAAGGAGCAGTATGAAACTTATTTAAGTGGTAAACTGTGGAAACACAGAATAATTTTTCCCCTTAACTAAACAGTTTTCCATTAAAGTCTGCTGTTATGAGTGAAGACCAATAATTAATTCAGAGACTAGCTAGATGTATTGAATATACTTAGTTTTTCTTTGAATATTTGTGTTGTTTTGAGATAGTTGAGTTTAGAACATGGGTGGTCAAAAGGGCCTCCATGGACCAGATCCAGCACACTAAGCGGGTTGATCCGGCCCTCGGAGGCCCTGCTGCTCCCCTGCCCCAGGCTGATCAGGGCCCTGGTGGTTGACTCTAAGTGCTGTGCGCCTGAGGGCAGGGAGCGAGAGACTTGGTGCTTCCCTTGCTCCCAGGCCAACTGAGGGCAGGGGCAAGCGTGTGAAGTCTCCTCCCACCCTGCCCCTGCCCTGCCCCTGCCCTGCAAGGAGTGTGCAGTGCATAGAAGCACTGTGCGCTTATTGCAGGATGGAAGCAGGGCAGGAGGAGACTTTGCGTGCTCCCCATCCCCAGACCAATCAGGGTCTGTGGGCAAGGAAGCACGGAAGTGTCCTAATCCCTCCCCTTCCTTCTGAGGTCCCGCTCCTTCCGGAGCCGCCCAGGGTCACTTCAAAAGTTTCTGATGTGGCCGCTGGTCAAAAATTATTGCCCACCCCTGGTTTAGAAACTACTTCTTCATATCAAGTAGATCTGCCTGCAAGATACACTTAACTAAGATGTTTCCCATGGAGCATATATTTAAGCCCAGTGATGCCTCCTCTTATCAGCCTTCACTCTTTCAGTTTTGATCTTGTGTATGATTCTCCTGTTTCTGTAAAACCCTTACTCTCTATTGGCAGGGCCAGAAAATCCTTGGTTGGTACAAGCATATGTCTTTGCAGCCAAGCACCCCTTTGCTTCTGTGGTGGCACAGGAAGTGTTTCAGAGTGGAATTATTCCTGCAGAAACAGACTTCCGTATCTACAGGGACTTTGGGAATATTCCAGGTATGTTATCAGATGGTCTGTCAGTGGGGGGGCATTATTTAACCCTTATTTAGATTTATAACAAGGGGCCAGTCCTACAAATGTTTACTTATGTAACGGTTTTAGTGTTTGGGTTCTAGGCCATGAACTGATACTTGACTTGGTGTCTGTTTAAGTTTAGCAGGAGGGTGTTGTGTGTCTCCCCTAGGAAAATAACCGTTATTGTTTTTGGTGTCCCACACAGACTAGGTGTATATATTTAGGGTCCTCAGTGTCTTAATTTTTGGTCAACCCTGGTTGACTAGCATTCTAGTGCTAAAAGCCATAGCACGCTGAAAATTCTCCGAGACTCAGGATCATCTCATCTGAAGAAGTGGGTTTTTCCCACGAAGGCTCATGATACTATACATATATTTTTGTTAGTCTCTACAGTGCCACAGGACTGCTCATTGGCTTTTTACAAGTTGTTTGAAAATTCTCTTGACTTTTAAGTTGTAGATTTATATTATGAATTACAGTTGATCTTAATTAAACCGAAAAGGTACCACAGTGTCAAAGCAGGTTTGAAAGTATAAAATGCTTTCCTCTATGAGAGCATGGGCCACAGTATCATGTTACAGGTGAGGTTAATACTGTGACGGGTCCCCCACTTTAAGATGCCACCTGATGTGCTGAGATACCACATGAGCCTGCTTGTTCTGCCAGCATGGGTTCCTTTTTTACCGGTCTTGCTGAGCCAGGCTCTTAAGTGGAATGAGGAGTAACAGTTAATTCGAACTAAAGAGTTAGTTCGAATTAACGTTTAACTACCGCGTCTAGCCGCGGGCAGTTAGTTCGGACTAAGGGGGATTTAAAAATGATGGCGCCCGGGAACATGCAAATGAAGCCTAGGATATTTAAATCCTGGGCTTCATTTGCAACTCCGGTTGCCCTCATTTGCCTACCTAGCTCGAACTAACGAGCTAGTGTAGACATACCCTCAATGTGGAGGAACATATGCACAATTTCTGCCCTCCTCCCCTCCCTACTTCTGGTATTACTTGAACAAACTGGGGTATGTTATAAACAAGAAATAAGTTTATTAACTCCAAAAGATCCATTTAAAATTAATATAAGGGATAACAAACAGAACAAAACATATTATTAAGCAAATAAAACAAAACATGCAAACTAGCTTGATTCACTAATGACATTGGCTACAAACAGTAATTTCCCCCCTAAATGTTGTCACAGGCAGATTACAGAGCTTGCAGTTTGAAACCTCAAGTGGCATTACTGACAAACTGGACATCCGTCCAGCTTAGGCTCAACGGCCCTCTCTCTTCTCCCCCAAATTCAGTTCTTAGTTCCAGGTGTTTTTCAATCTCTTTTGGTAGGGAGGCAGAGAAGAACCATGGTGATGTCACTCTCCTGGCTTATATAGTTCTTCTATACGTATGCCGACCATACGTCCTGGATTTTCCGGTATAATCCCAAATTTGAATCTCCTGTCCCAGTGTCCCCATAAAGCTGTGAAATGACCCAGAAAGCCGTAGGGATCAAAATGCAGCTAGAAGCACCTGTGCACTGCCATTCCCCCGCCCCCACAAGATACTGGAACTAGTGAGAGGCTGCTTCCAGCGTTGGTGCTGTGCACGGCTCCTGAATAGTAGGGAGCGTGTGTGGTGGTGACGCCACCAGAGGAGGCTGGGGCCGGAGCTCTGTGGCCAGGGCTGGGGCAGAGAGACGGGCCAGAGCTCTCTAGCTGCTGCTGGGGCTGGAGCGCTGCATTTCAGTGCATGCTCCAGCCCAGCGTAGCCTGGTGACTCTTTGCCACAGACTGGGGGCCCCTGGCCGGAGTCCCTGATATGGCTGGAAAGCGTCTGCCTCTGCTCAGCCCTTCCCTCGCAGGAGGGTGGACCCAGCAGTGAAGCCAGCCCAGGCTTGGGCCTCTCCCTCGGGGCAGGGCTGAGGGGCCCAGGAGTTCAAGTGGGGGGCTGGGCTAGGCGGCCGCACCGTGAGAGTGGCAGTGCATAGGGAGCGGCCAAGGCCTGCAGTGCCTTCAACCTGCTGCGCTTCCTGCAGTGGTCGCTGAACACGGTGAGCGGTGCGGGGTTCCCAGGGGCGTGGGGCGGAGCAGGGGAGGGACTCTGCATGGTGGGGTAGTCACTGTGCTGCATTCACAGCATGACTGAGGGGCAGGAAGAACAACCGCAGGTGGAGCAGGTGACTGTGTGTGTTCTTCAGGGCCTGGCCTGACACACCTTACACCTTATTTTCTGTAACCACTTTGAACCTTTTCATAACTAAGCAACTAATGGTTTTAGACCCCTTACAGCATGAACTTTTAGCACAGGTCTGTGATGCAGAGCAGAAGGGGATCAGGGGGGCCTGTATGTACCAGGGCTCATAGTAAAATGTGTGTCCTGTATACCCCCGGTGAGATGCTGCGGCTGCAGCAGCTGCATGCCCTTTGGTGCTGCTGGCTCAAAGACCAGGAGCTGAGTCTGTGTGAGCCCATCCTGGCCCTACTGAAACTCAGGCCAGTGGCCAGATTCTGGGAGTGCTTCCTGCAGCCAAGCAGCTTCTGGTGGCAGAAGATCAGGTTTTCCCAAAGGTTTCCCTCCAGTTCCCCAACCCTACTGAGGGGTTCCTATCCTGGGGCAGATAGGCCCAGAGGGATCCATTGGTCCTGTCTTGCTAGGGGAGTCTCCTCTCTGGAGGTGTTTCCCTAACTCTTTGCTCAGGGATGTTGTGAAGGCCAAGACTGCAACAGAGTTTAAAAAAGAACTACAGGTTGGACCTCACTGGTTGAGCACCCTCGGGACCTGACTGGTATCAGACAAAGGGATTTGCCAGAAATGGGAAGGTCCCTCCCCTCATGGCCCATGCTGCCACCAGGCTAGGGCTCCAGCTTGCCCCTGCTGCTGCCGCCCCAGCCCCCCAGGGCTCTCTAGATGCTGCTGTCCCTACTGCTGCCGGGGCCGGAGCACCACGGCCACAGCTGCACAACCAGTGCAGAGCTCCACAGCTGCCTTGCTCCATGTCTGGGGCCAGAGCTCCGTGGCTAGGGCTAGGTCAGAGGGCTGGGCCAGAGTTCCACAGCGGGAGCTCCCTGACTGCCTCTGTTGCTGGAGCTCAGGGGATGGGGCCAGAGCTCCCGGCCTGCCACTAGGGTCAGAGCTCCTTGGCTGCTGGGAGCTCTGCTGGAGCCAGAACTCCCTGCCATGTTGTCTGTCCTTCCCTCCTCCCACACACACTGGGCTCCCAGCTAAGTCACTGGTGCCCCCTGTAGCGCTCCTCCCCGACTCCAGACCTTCCGCTTCCTGGGCTCTGTTGTCCAGGAACAGCCATGTTCCATGCTGGACCATGGATGTTGCCGGAGCAGGGAGTCCCAGTTAAGGGAGGTACACCTGTAGATGAATTCATGAAGGATAGGTCCATAAATAGCTATTAGTGGGAGCATCCTCTGCCCAGCCCTTCCCTCCTCTCCTGCGGGCTCAGGGCAGCAGGCGCTGGCCACCCACCCGGTACGGCATTCTAGCAGAACCGTGTTGAGTTCTCCCACTCGAGGCTGGTATGGAGGGGAGGAGGCAGCCAGGCCAAGCAGCACTAATTGTCACTCTCCATTTGGTGAATGATTAACAGGCTGCGGTGCATCAGCAGCCAAGGAGGAGGGGAAAAACCTGCCACAAGGTGGGGTAGGTGGGTGTCCCTCCTGCCCGCTTCAAGCATCTGCAGCATCAGGAGCTTGGTCTCCGCCCCAGGTGGGTGGAGCCTAAGGGGTCAAGGGTCATAACTAACATTTGATTGATGATAGGGCCCTTATATCATGTGTCCCCATTTTTGGTTCAGAAAATATGGTCACCGTATCTATAAGGCAGGAACCTTTTGTCTTCCAGTGGAAAAACACTGGTGTTCCAAAAGAGAGAGAGAGAGGTCCAGTATCAAGTGGCTTAGACCAGGGGTGTCCAAACTTTTTTCCAAGAGGGCCAGATTTGATGAAGTGAACATGCGTGAGGGCCGACCATTTTGCCTGACATTCTTTGAACCATTCAAATTAAATGCAAATTAACTATTTTATGCAAAGTTTATTGCAAACAACATACTTTTCATTTCATCACATGGATGACAAATCTAAACAGGTGTTAAATCACTCTGCCTTTCATATCTGAAGGCCAGATGAAAAAAAAATCCAGGAAGCTGAAATATATGTCAGGAACATTGTAAAGTACATTACATATTACTGGTAATAAAGGTTGTCTGTCAACTTTTAAGTTCAAAAAATATGAACAGGAACATAACACCAAGTATACATGTTGTGTCCAAATATATTTATAACTGATTTAGACCAACTGACATTAACTGAGATTTTACAATGTATTCATCTCAATACATATGGATTCGTTGGGGGCCATAAAAGATAGATATTGCCAAATTACCTGTGGGGCCATATTAAACCGGAACACGGGCCGCAATTGGCCCGCGGGCCGGACTTTGGACATGCCTGGCTTAGACCCATGTCTCTGCAGAGCTGTGGCAGCCATTACTATCAGGCAGTTTGGAGCCTTCACAGGAAGACTAAGCTCTTTCATAGTCCATTGTCTTAGCTAATGGGCAGTCAGCCCTATCTGGCTTTTTCATTGTTGTACCTGAAGGGCAATTGTGTGCAACACCCAAAGTTAGCACATTTCAAAAACACACACGGTCAGTATTTCTAATTTCAGATACAGAAATAATTCAGGTGTACAAATTGGATAATTACATTCAGTAAATCGTAACCTTTTCACTGATATCTCACGTGAAGTATATCTGAGTTTTGTCATATTCATATCATAAGAATATTAAGTGTAATGTCACACATCACCACACATATATAGGTTATATCAAGTTGCTACTGTTGTCACCTTGCAATCCAGGTACATGAGCATTAGAAAATTGCTCTTTTCTGGCGTATGAATTGGCAGTGGCAGTTTTGCTGCCAGTGATAATAGAATCAAAGGGTGCCTGTTGGAGAAAGATAGTCTAGGTGGGCAACCAGAGGAGGAAAATTCTTATTTAAAAATCAGGAAAATGTCTTTGAAATCAAATATGTATATAATAGCATAGTTACATTTAAAACATTTTAATGTAAGTGGGGAAAAATCCCCACCTGCAATTAAGAATTAGAACAAAAATTATATATGTAAAGAATAGATAGGGAAAATGAAACATTGCTTTTAGGTATTTAACTGTTACGGCTGCACTATTGCTACTTTCATTGCAGCAGTCACACAGCAGGTGGTCAAGAATAGAGACTTTAGAATCCTTATCTTAGAATTCACACCAGTTCCTTTTTCCTAACTACTTAAATGATGGATGGTTTCATTGGAGAAGACATGGAGCACAAAATGACATTTCAGTTGGCAGAAATGCTAAAGGAAAATAGATTCCTATAGGAGGAGGAGGATTTAAGGTATTTTAATATGTTTAGCTACGAATGCACATTAAGGTGTCTTGTTCTCTAGAAAAGTTGTTTTTCCAGAGTGACACTTAAGGACATGGCTAAAGCAAAGTATTTTACTGCATGCTCTGAACTGTTTTAAAGCACATTTCTGATCTCAAAATTGATTGCATAAAATGAATACTGTAATTTCTGATCTGGCTAATCTGGGTCCATGTGTGTTTGGAAACATCTTTGCTACATTAGATGGAAAATTAGTTTTTATTGCCTTCTGTTAGCCACGCAGAGCGAAAACAGCTGAGTTTTTAAGAGATGGATTCTATTCCTTCTTGTGCACCAGCAGAATTTTTGTTTTGATCAGATACACGGATACAAAATTAGCAACAGCACTAGGAGTATGTAGGTATTACTGTGAGCATACAAACTGAATTGCACAGGGGACATTGGAGGCATCATTTGGCTTGTAGAACCTTTACTAGTGGTGATTCACAAGAAGGAAAGAATTCAGCTTGAGGTTGGAGCCCAGGTAGTTATTGCAAAAATATTTTGTTACCTGTAAACTGGCCATAGAGAGTTATTAAGCAGCGGTAATCATGCAATTTTAGGATTACATTATCTAGGTGATTTTCTGTGTAGGACCACACTGAATCTTTAGTGATGGTGCTAAGAAAGCACAAAATATAGAATTTGGCTATTGGCTGGTAAGGGTGACACTCTACTGCTTCAGGCAGACAGCCAATCACCAAATAAACTATGGAAAGTGATAGGGGGCTTGTGCTGCCCTTGGAGGCTTGACATTAAGCCTCAGAAGAGAATCGGGTGATCAGGAATATTGGCATAGGCATGACTTTCTAGACTAGTAGAGGGAAGCATGTACAAACACCCAGCATGGCAGTAAAATACAGAAGGGCCAAATATTTTCATATGCCTGTAATTAAATATGTCCTTACTCTGTTTTAAAATTGGTACTTAAGTAGTCTTACTGCATGTGGGAAGTTGTTCAAGTTATGGAAGTCAAAAATTATTGTTGGATAACATTGGTAGACCAAAACTGTTTTTGTTTTGTAAAATGTTCTGAATCAAGTGTTTGATTACGTTTAGGTAACTTTAATCATAGTTTTTTTCTATATTCATAGGAATAGACTTGGCTTTCATTGAAAATGGCTACATTTACCATACAAAATATGACACACCAGACAGAATCTTATCCGATTCAATTCAGAGAGCAGGTTGGTATTCAGATGTCCATCCAAAATGTTATAAAGAATATGGCTAAATGGAAGTTTCTTCCTTTTTCCATTAACCCTTATTGTAGCCCCCATACCTTGGAAATTTCTTAATGATTAGTGATGCATAATCTACACGCTGTGCCCATGAAAGCTCATGATACCATCTAATTTTGTTGTTAGTTTCTAAGGTGCTGCAGGACTACTCACTGTTTTTTAAGTTATTACACTAGTGATGTAATTGACTAATTGACTACCCAATAAAACTAGTCATATCTGGTAGTTGAGTCACTACTAATCGCTTCCCCCAACAGCAAAGGGGGAGTTGGCTTAAAAGCTGGTTTCCCCCAGCACTGTCTCAGCACGGGAGGCAGAGGTGCAGTGGTCTGAACCTGGTGCGAGCAGGGACTGCTTGATTCCCTGCTTGCCCCGGGTTCCCTGCTGTGCCTCTGCCTTTTAAAAGTAGTAAGAGCTGTGGGTGGCTCTTACTACATTTAAAAGGCAGAGATGCATCCGGGATAGCAAGCCCGCCCCCCTTATTGACTAATGGAGTAGTTGATAGAAATTCCATCAACTGCTCAATTAGCTGATTAATTGAAATCTAATATCCCTAATCTACATATTGGCAATCCCCAAAAGAAATCAAACTTCTCAAAATTCAATGACTCATGATTTGTAATGCGCTATGGAGCCTCTTTCAGATTTAAATCTGGCCAGGTCAGTGGTGATCAATTTCATCACCTTCTGAGGGCTGTTCAAAGAGATATCTCTAGCCATTTTTGTGGGCAAATACCCATAATACCTTGCATCCATATTTAATATTCTTGGCAGGGTTATATGAATGGTATGGAGACTGACCTGTCTCTAGAAGTCGTCCTTCCTGAATCAGGGCAGAACCAAAATGGCAGGAAAGTCTGGGCAATTTTGGCCCATATTTTATTATTTCTGTGAATAAAGAGGCAAATTTACTTTCCAGCTATGTCAACATTTCACCTTTTTATATACTGAATTTACTCTTAAGAGACTCTATAAAAAGTCTTAATAGGTTTTTGAAAAACTACAACACCCAAAAGTATGTGTTAGCTACCAAACAACATTAGTGTCTTCCTTTTACTGGCAGAATTAAATCATTTTTACTCTTTCCGGGGTTGTTTCTTGATCTTTTTATAGGCACTGAAGCAACAGTTGTCCTCTTGCAGTCCTGAACAAATTATATAGCTAATATTCAGTTTTAGTTGAAGGAATCGGGTCAGCAGCAGAGTTCTGTGAATTACTTTCATGGAGATCAGTTTTAAATGTTTAAAGTAATACAGTTGCAAGTGCCCAAGTATACTTCTGTTTTTTTTTCCTTTGTCCCTCTTGTAAAGTTGAGGCTACTTGTTTTGACAGTTTGTTACAGCAATAGCATTTCAGTGCTTAGAGCTTGTATCCCAAGGATTTTTATGTGAAGAGTAGCTATGTGGATTTAGAAGAATACTATGCATTGTGTGTGCTCAGATACAAAATTTCAGATAAAAGAGCTTAAATACATTTATAACATGATCTAGAAGAATAATTTTATATTTTTAATTAGCTGTATATAGAACTATGCATTTGTCTTTCCTATTTTCATATTATATATATATATATATTGTCTCTTTTCCCCTTTAACAGGTGACAATATTTTAGGAATGCTAAAATACTTAGCAACATCAGATAAGTTGGCCAAATCGTTTGACTATCGGCATGGAAATGTGGTCTTCTTTGATGTGTTTGGTCTGTTTGTTCTGGTCTACCCTGCTCGTGTTGGCACAATCATGAACTATATAATAACTGCAGTTACTTTCCTTTATGTAGGAAAAAAAATATTACAGCCCAGAAACAGGGGTAAGTCCAATTAAGAATACTTTGATTTTTTTTCTGAAGAGAAAGAACTTGATAAGTTTTTTTTTTTTTAAAATAGGAACAAATATGATAGGAAATTATCAGCACATTATATGATTAGTTGCATAGAGGAACTTTAAAATGAATATTGGGTACACAATGGCTTATGTCATTTGCTTTTGAACTCTTTGTATTAAGTGACTGAACAATAAAATGACTACAGGTTGGATCACTGTGGTCCGGCACCCTTGAGTCTCCCCCTTCCCCCCCCCCCCCAACTGCCCCACAACCCAACTGAGCCTTACGTCAGGCTCCCCCAGGCAGCCCAGATGGGCATCCAACCCCCCTTCCACAGCCTTGCTGAGCTGCGCACTGGCTTTCCAGCCCAGCTGAGCCGACACCCAGCTGGGGCTCCCACCCCCTGCATTGTGCCTGGCTCCCACCCCTTGCAGCATGCAGGCATTCTCTGATCCTGGAACATCCGTGGTCCAACTGGACTATGGATGTTGCCAGACCAGAGAGTTCCTCCGGTTTGTAGAGGTGCAATGTGTACATTTGATAAAGATTGCAACCATTAAATTGATGCTGTCCTTTACTTCTGTTTGTTTATTTGGGCAAATGATGATATGCCCAAAATCAAAATTGCTTTGTAGCACAGCTTTTCATGAGAATTTTAATGGTTTTTTTTTTAAAGTTAAAAACAACCATCTGAAATTATTTCAAAGTTACTCAATGACAGTTTTAGTAACATGGACAGAATCTTTTTCTGAAAAAGAAGAGTATCTTTTACATACAAACTTGTCAGTATACAGCATAGCAGCAAATAATAAAAGAGACTTTAAAAGGAAAAATGTACTTTGTCTACGTAGTTTAAATAGACTCATAGACTTTAAGATCGATAGGGCCCATCATGATCATCTAGTCTGACTTCTTGTATGTTTCAGGACACAGAACCTTACCTACTCCTGAAGTAGATCCCTAACCTCTGGCTGAATTACTTAAAGTCTCAAATCCTGTCTTAAGGACTTCAAGTTACAGAGAATCCACTATTTACAGTAGTTTAAACCTGCAAGTTACCCCTGGCAAATGCTGCACCAGAAAATGAAAACCCCCAAAGTCTCAGACAAATTGACCTGGGAAGAAAATTTCTTCCCAATCCCAAATGCCCTACGATTAAATTTCTCTTTTAATTATTGGGAGGGGAGCAAGGGGACAGAACTAATCATTATAACTTAACCAAACCAAAATCAAGGAAACGTCCACCTTTCTGTGGGAAAACATAACTAGAATCCTTAAACAAAATCTTTCCTCAGCTATCTCTCAGGAGAAATGCCCTGAACAAATCACTAATTCAATAAGAATCTTATATGACAAGGACATGGGCTGGATGGCTTAGGCCTAGATACAATTAAAAGGAATCTTCACCAGTAGACCCTTAAGCCTACACTGCAACTTACTTAATTGTGTTAATGGTCAGGGTGATCATTCCTGTAATTTTAGTCCCAGTATAGCACCTTAACTGCATGATGTATCTAATAAAATGGTCCATTGTATGTGGGTTAACTGTTTTTTCTCTCTTCCTTAGCTATTAACTATTTGAAGGAGCTCTCCATTGCATTTGGCTTCACACTGTTAAGTTGGCTCTCCACAGTAGTAATTGTCCTTATTGTGGCAGTGTTCATCTCTCTCATTGGGCGGTCTCTTTCTTGGTACAACCACTTCTATGTCTCTGTTTTCTTGTATGGAACTGCAGCTGTGGCTAACCTAATCTTTGTGCACACATTAGCCAAAAAGTTCTACTATAAGGTAAGTGCTGATTCTTTGCAGATTACTACTTGGAGTAGAACAAATATATCATGTGATGATGGGCATGGATTTAACCATCTGAACTTTGATTCAATATTGACTTATTGAAAGCTCGTCAGTTCAATTGTTTCATAAACTGCATGAATATTTGTGTCTCTTTCAAACATATATTTAAAGGGCATCTCTTGGGAGTGTTAAGTTCAGTATTTTAAGCATATTATTACACTGGATCACTCCCAAGACCCATCTAATCTAAAATATAGTGATTTATACCAGATGCTTCAGAAGAAAGGGCTAATAGTAGGCTAATCTAAAATAATTTCTCTATATAAGGTCTCATCCTAGTCTCTAGTAGTTAAATTGGTTTAACCCTGAAGCATGAGGTTTCAACATTCTTGTTGACATAAATTATGATAACTGTATATTCTTTATGTAGTTATTCAGTCATTCTTTGAATTTTGTTAAGTTATTGGCTTGTGACAATGAGTTCCACAGCTTAATCACTTACAGTATGGAAAAGTGGTTTTGAATGTCCACATTTTAGGTTCTATTAAATGGCCCCTTAGTCTTGTGTTATGCGTCAGGGAGAACAGAATTGTCCAATCTGCCTTCTCCATGCTATTCGTTATTTTATATACTTTTATAACGTGCCCTCTTATTTGTCTCCTTTTTCACGTACCAATCAGTCTTTTCAGTCTCTTTATATGAATTTTTCCTTGGCTTTGATCATTATCTTGTTGTTCCTCTAATACTGCACTTTTCATTTTTAGTACTGCACACAGTATGCTAGGTGAGGTCATACCATTGATTTCTATAATGGCACTATAATTTCCATATTACTCATCCCATTCCTTATTCATCTTAATTTCTTGTTTGCTTCTTTGACCACAGCTGCACATTGAGTAGGTGTTTTTATTGACCTTTCTACAGTGGTGTCCAGGTATATTGAGATTAATATAGTTAATTAAAAACCCTGTAAGATGTATCAGTAGTTTACATTTCCCCCTCTAATGAGCATTGTTTTGCATTATTGATATTGAATTTAATTTGCCATCACGTTGCTGTGACATCCCAGGATGCAATCCAGACACTGAAGGGTTGTGTCAGCTTTGCTCTGCAACTGGGAATACCTCCTAGTTCTTTACTACTGTAACTACCAAATTAAGCCCCTCAAAGAGCCAAACAGCATGTAGGTCACACCCTGAGCATCTGCTGACAGACTACAGCTATACACATGCTTCAGTCACATTCTGGTTTCAATCCGCCTTGGATACCACTTGCAGCCCCAATTTTTCCCTCAAAATGTGTGTGTTCAGTGTCCAACCCTCTTCTGGACAGCTCAGCTATTTTAGTCCGTTGTCCTTTTAAGGGATCAATATCCAACAGGCCTGCTACTTTACATAGGAGTTTGATCACAACAGTGGATTAGTTTTGGCTAAAGAATAAAGCAGGTTTATTTAACTACAAGGAGATAGGTTTTAAGAGAGTACAAATATAAGACATTAAAATCAGAAATGATTACAAAAGAAATAAAGATAAAACATTTTCTAATACTAAAACTTAACAAACTAGATTTGGTGAATATGAAATCCGTTAATGTATATTTTCAGTAACATTGTTAAAATTATACCCCATCTTGCCTCTGGACAGTGGTGCTTCCTTTGAAAATAAAATACCACCATTCATTTAGACAATATAAAATACTATTTAAAAGGCTTTATTGTAATTGTATATGCAGTAATTTCACTGAGTATGCTGGAAGAGGCATAGTTAATCTGCTGATGAAACTGTAACGCAGAATCTTGTGAAATGTGATATCATGTGGTTACAAACAAACCATTTGCTATATGTGAAAATAAAAAACAATCTAGAACATGTTGTTTTCTTTTCCTTTAATTTTCTTTCTTCCCTCCAACTCCCAAACTAATCTCTTTTCAAAGTATGTTTTGAATCTGCTCTGATGTTACTCAATTAGATACTACTCCATAAGAGAAAAGAAATTGATGTAGCAATATTTATAAAATGATAGCTGTTGACCTAACAAAACATTAGCTTTGTATCAGAAATTTGCATATGTTGCCTTAGAGGCCAGATGTACTGAGCAGGTTAATTCTGTATGTTTGGTCTTTTTTTTTTCCTTACAGAATAAAAATGAACAGTACCTGGGGGAGATATTCTTTGATGTTGCACTCCTTGCTTGGTCTATTGTATTGGTTCTAATCACTCAGCTAGGCCTTTGCTCAGCATTCATCTGTGCAATATGGGTAGCATTTCCTTTACTCACAAAGCTATCGATCCATAGGGAGTTCAAACAAAAAGGTAAAGTTGTATTTTATTATTTGACAACCCAGAGTTCAGTTATATGTCAGGGCATGTTTACAGTGAGCTTGAACTAAACTAAAGAGAATTCTCATGAATGTGGTGTGGTTATTTTATTTTTAAAATACCCTCTTTGATCTCTTAATTATTCTAACTTAAGAACACCTTTAGCATTTTTGTTAGAAATAATTATAATCTTGACATAAAGGCAACTTTTAAGAATAGAGCAGATACATAGGAGTGGCTTGAGTCATCTATATAATTAGAGCACTACATAGATACAAAATTTGTATCTGCCTCTAATCCATGGTCCACAAAAATGGTCCATGGATACCTGCGTCTGCAGATGCACATATCCACAGATACAAACTGGATATCCATGGATTTGCAGGCTCTCTATATAAGATTCTAGCAGTGTCACCTTCAAGTCTAGAATCCCTGAATCGGTATGGGGTGATGGAAGCAGCAATAAGCTTGTCTCTTTTTTCAGAATATCAGCAGGTTCAATGATCACTAGAGTTTGCGGTCTGTTACTCTCCCCCTTTTAAGGTCTTAGATATTTTGACTTTACAAATTTCACCCATGTGGTGTAAAGCTACATATCTATGCCATACAAAGAATCCTAGACCATTGTGATTATCAGAGGTAACTCACCTGTCACCACCCTTTCTTTTCAGCTAATTTGCATGTAACAGTTTAATTAGCCATTTGAGGGAAGTTGCACAGAGGTGGATGATTTGGCCCAAATGCCACACTCTTGTGAGAGAGTCTATATCAGTATAGACTCAGTGGGGCAAAGTCTCAGTGAGACAAAAAGTCTATTTATAATTTTTCACAATATAAGTATTATGTGGCTTGCATTGGCAGGGTCTGTATCAAATGGAACCTTCTGTCCTTTTAGATCAGGGTAGGGAACCTTTTTTGGGTTGGGGGCTGCTGACCCACACCAAGGGAGAAACATTCCCGCTTCCCCCCCCCTCCCCCACTGATGTGGCCCCTAACTGAGAAGGTGAAAGTCACTTTCCACATTCCCCTCACACACCCAAGCCTTGCAGGGTGGGGCATAGGCTAGTAGATTTTGTGTGCTCCAGCCCTAGGGTGGGGGGGGACCACTGAGCCTCTGGGCAGGATCCAGGCAAGCCAGGGGACACATCTGGCCTTGGGACTAAGGTTTTCCACCCCATTGTAGATGAACCTCACCCTTGGAAATAGTTTGTATTTGTGTTTGATATTGTATATAGTTACTAATTAAAACAGAAAGTTCTGTATCTTACAGGCCGAAGAATATCATATTTTTTTATTTTCCCCTCTCATGTAGGTGCCACAATAAGATTTATCATGATTTACATGCTGGGTATGTTTATCCCGTACCTGTATATAATGTACCTCACCTGGACAATATTTGAAATATTCATTCCCATCATGGGTCGAAGTGGCACAGAAATTCCACCGGATGTAGTGCTGGCAGCCTTTATCGTTGGCAGTACTGTAATTCTGTCATCTTATTTTGTAAGGAGATGTTTTTAAACCTTATAATCTATATATTGAGCTACTTTTTAAAGGAATACTTTATATTAATGTTTTATTTGTAGGCAAAAAATCTAGCTATCACAAGAGACTGCATAAAACAAATTAAATCAATGCATTAAAATGAAACTAGATTCTTTAGAACAGTGCTTCCCACAGTTCCCCTTGGCTGCAAACGGCAAAACAGCCTTATGGCTCCTACTGGCTCTGTGGCCGCTGTGCCGATAAATAAACAAATGGACACAGCCAGTTAACAGGTTTTGCAGACCACTTTGAGAAGCACTGCTTTAGAGCTACTATTTGTGGATAGAAAGACAAATTCTACCTTCAAATAGCATATGTTCCTCTCAGTAAAGTTGGTTGGAGTTAGGGATGTGACTGTTTAATTGGTTAACTTGCCAGTTAAGGATGTTAAAATGCTAAAATGTGGTTAATTGACTAATTGATGGAATTTCCATCGACTAGTCGATAGGCACTTCCGCGGAAGAATCCCGCGGCACCTGGGACTCCTCAGCTCATCCTGGGTTCTGGGGATGCCTCGGGAGTCCCCAGCTGACCTTGGGCTCCATGGTAGTTGCCTCTTTGAAATCTTCAGATCAGCTGTGCAGCGGCTGCCGTGGGGTTTCAGAGTGGGGAAGTGCCCCATAGAACCCGGGGTCAGCTGATCCTGGGTTCCGGGGAAATGTTGCGGGGAGCCCACAATCAGCTGGGGAGTGTGCAGCTGACCCTGGTCTCCAGGTGGCTGCCCATTTGAATCGCGCAGACGTGGCATTTTAAAGGGGCAGCCCGCTGCACAGCCAATCTGCGGATCAGCTGTGCAGCGGCCACCCTGGGATTTCAAAGTGGCAGCACCACTACCCCCCTTTGCTACCTCTGCAGATGCTTATCGGATAGTCAACTAGTCTCTAACATCCTCAGTGTATGTGTGTGGAACAGCTCCCTGCTTGCTGCAGGCAGGGTGCTGCTCCAGCCCTGTGGGAGGCTCGCCACAGACAGGGACTGCTCCCGCCAGGCTACACAGCTCCTGCCTGTGGCGGACCCAGGAGGCCAAGAGAGCCCCAGCCTGTGGGGTGTGCTGGGCTACTGCTAGCAGGAGATGCTCCAGCCTGGCCATTGCAGTCCCTGCCTGTGGTGGGGGGACAGCAGGCGGGAAAGGAGGGCTGCTTCAGCCAAACCGGGGGCCACTCCAGCTAGGCTGCAGCAGCTGTTCCCCACCCCCATCTTCCCTCCTCTTTAATTGGTTAACCAGCTAAACAACACATTTAACCGGTGAGCCAATTAAACAGGATTTTACATCCCTAATTGGAGTGGTACACGTTACAGGATTGAATTTTTGCTTAATATCTGATTAGAGTGTTGAAGAGATACATGATATGAAATGAGATGCTGATGGGGAATCTTAGTGGCTTTCCCTTTTTGGTGAAGGAGTCCCTGAAAGGACCAACAAAATACTTACCAGAAAATGTATTGAAATAACCTGCTGTGTATGAAGAATGGGATCCATCCAATTGTAGACTTCCTTTCCAGTACTCAGGATGCTTGTTTTGCATTCATGATGAGATTAAACTGAATCATTGTCCAGGAGAGAGTTTAAATGCAGTAAACAATATATTGTTAGTTGAAGAAACCTATTTAGACTGAACACAAGAATATATCTGCTGTAGGATGGAGGTATAGAGATGTGTGCAAGGGAAGAGTATACTCAATTGAAAAAGATATTTGACTTTCTTGAGGTATTTTAATACTGGAGGATGTAAGTATAATTTAGGAAGAATGTGGCATTAAGAATAAATTTACCTGGACTATATATAAACAACTTCATGTTTTAGCACTGGTTTTAACATTGTATCTTCACATAGTTCTCTAATTACCAATAATCAGGTACCAGCTGTTTGCTAATGAATTTTTTAAAAACAGTTTGTGATTTCTTAAAACTCTAAAAAGTCTGCATATAAATCTAACATACTAGTTATTTAAGATTGCAAGTGACATTAAGAAGTCTTGTATCAAATTAAATAGTTCTTGTGAAGATAATCATATTTTTAAATGCCCTCTGTTCCATAAGTTAGATATTTAGAAATACATTAACGTTATCTTTTTGTTAGTGCTGTATTTTCATAACTAGTGTCTCATATTTTTATTCTCCAGCTTAATTTTATCTATCTTGCCAAAAGTACAAAGAAGACAATAATAGCTTTAACTACAGTGTTTGGAGTGACACTAATTCTTGTTTGTAGTGGAGTGTTCTTCCCATACAGTTCTGATTCAGCTAATCCAAAGCCTAAGCGAATCTTTCTCCAGGTAAGAAAGCCTAAAGTAATCTATAGTCTACATCTTTTTCTTTTTCTTTTTTTTCAGGGATGGTACTCTGTCCAACCTTCCTTTCCCCCTGAAAAAGAAAGGCATTTTGCCCTTGGATACAGGGAAGCTCATAAAAGGATTGTTAATTTCCAGGCAGTTACAATAATCTCAGCCAGCTTTTTTTTGCTCATGACAGGCTATACACTTCCTTCAAGAACAACAAGAAGTCCTGTGGCACCTTATAGAGTAACAGATTTATTGGAGCATAAGCTTTCGTGATAAATCTGTTAGTCTGTAAGGTACCACAGGACTTCTTGCTGTTCTTGCAGATTCAGACTAACACGGCTACCCCTCTGATACTTGACACTTCCTTCAGTTACACCAAGAATGAATTTGGTTCAATAAACATGTTTAAATACTTACACATATTTGTTCTAACAAACAGTAGTCTTAGAAGTAGCATGCAGGAAGCTAGGCAGACTCTGTCTCTTGATCTCTGTTGAGTGATCCATCTACTTCCTCTGGAGTTTGGCTTAGCTGCACTCTGTATATACTGATTTTGCTGAAGTGCTATGGTTAATTTGAAAGAATAGTGAGTGAGACTTTTGCAGAGAAATGATTTGTCTTCCCCGGTTACTTTTTGAGTGCCTACCTATATATGCGCAAAGAGTGAGTGGAATGGCAAGTGTAGCTTTGCAGTAAAGTCTTGCCAGGCTTTGGAACAACACAAAGGGTAAAAAGAAGACTTGTATAAAATAAAGGCAAATGGTCTAGTTGCCGGGCATTATGTACTGGAATTTCCTTCTCAGTAGATTAGTGGACAGTGGCAGGAATTTGTAAACTGGGATCACTGATTTTGCTCCCTACAGCTTGTTCTTTGAATGACGTCTCCCCCACATGTGGGACACCTAGTGCCTGAGTCCAGAATTTCTTGAAAGCAGTGTCCATTAGTCCTCATGTGCCATAGTTGTCATGCTACCAACCAATGATCTAAAGCAGGGGCGGGGGAGATTCCACCTGCCAAGCCACAGGATCTAGTCTGCAGGCTGCCCTGCTGGGACACCCATGCTGCTTTAAGTGATTGGCTACTTCCTATGGTCTGCTTGGGCTTCTGGCCAGTAGGAGCTGAGAGATTTTGCTGAGGTGCGGGGGCAGCATGCAAAGCCTCCCCTTCCTCTTCCCTCTCCCCTCCTGTGCCTGGAACAGAGGGCCACATAGAGCAGCCAACCTCTTTTTGAGCAGCCTGGGACTTCAGTAGGCACCACAGCTCCTTGCACCAGGTCACCATCCAAATCCTCTGCACCCCCCTTTCCCTTCTCTCCCAGATCACAACTCTCTCTTAGACCTTGTATCTCCTCCTATGCCCCTTCCCCAGTCCAGAGTCCTCTCCTGCACCCATACCCCTTGCTCCTCAAGCCTCTCCTTCATCCAGACTCCCTCTCAGACCCCACACCGTCTCCGGTATCCCAGCCTCCTACCCTGAGCTCCCTTCTGCACCAAACCTCCATCCCAGACACTGCATGCCTTCCATAGAAAAGTACAGCCCTCCACAACTTACCAGCATCTTTTTGTGGCCTCCCATCAAAAATTATTGCCCACCTCTAATGTAAAGGGAGGCTCATGCCTCTCCAGTTCCATTTGACCTCTGTGTGGTCTCAAGTCAAAATGTTCAGTGTCCTCAGCATCTTTTTTACTGTATCATTACTGTAAGAATTGTACATAGCTAGGCTTTTTAGTAGTTTTTACTGTATTGTGTAGCATAAATAGTGATCTTTTCTCCCTGCTGAGGACTTTTCCCCTGAGAAAAGTGAGATTATACCCAGAGTCCTGCAGTTCAAAAACAGTTTTTCCTGCACTTGTTCTTTTTCTGAGAGAGGCTAATATCAACGCTGCTTCCACTTCCTGGCTGATGTTCTGGCAAGTGTGAAATCTGTTCCTCTTTCCCCCCCAGAACTTGTGAGGGTCAGGAACTGAGACTCAGAAAACTCCCAGAGATATTCTTAGCTCTACCAGCGCTGAGAGATGCCTCTCCTGTAAGAAGTTCCTAGGAGAGCCAGATACACTCTGTCTGATGCCTGGGACAGCCTCACATAAGTGCTTCCTTCAACTGCCATGGGTAAAATGTCAATCTCGCAGGAACGGAGAGCTGAAGTTTAAAACCCTTCCTTAGGGAGAAGGCACTTCAGCCTCCAGGGGACTCCTGACCGATTATCCCCAGAGCCTTTTACTTCAAAGAGGATAGAGTTGTTAAAAAAACACCAGCACAGCAGACTCCTCCTTTAAAGACTCGTAAAAACGAGATCAGCGTCATTGGCCAGCCAGAGGGTTCCCCAGAGTGGTCACCTCCGCACTGACCAACCTTAGTACTGACCAGTAAAACAAGCTCCTAGTGATTGGCCAGTCAGTGGGGGTTCTCCTGCAGGAGACTTCTGCACCATGGCCCAGCTCTGAAACAGTGTACTCAGAAGGGCCTTCGCACTGTGAGCTCTGCTTTGCAGTAGGGGCTGCATGCCCTGAGAAGCCAGGGGCAGCCAGGCTCGGAGGCAACGTTAAGGAGACAAACAGTTACTGTACTGTCTCTAAAAAATAGCATAGAAAAAACTTTTGGTACTGGATGTGACAAAACTCCCATCTAGAGAGTGCTCTGCATCTTCCCAGCCATTAGTACTGACAGTGTACCGCAAACACTCTGAGTATTCTGGAGACCTTTGGCTTTGGTACCCAGGGAAAGAATTATTGTACCATCTCTAAAAGAGTGATACTGACAACTTTTGGTACCTAGCACAACAAAACTTTCATCTAGAGCAGGGGTCTCCAAACTTTTCAGCCCGAGGGCCGCATTAACTATCAAACAGCAGTTCGGGGGCCGACTACACACTTGAGGTCCAAATAAAAAACAATCAAAACATGGATGTTGTTTTTAATTATTTATTTAATATTATTTTATTCAGTTATTATTTAATAACACATTCATACACTACACATGAACACCTGTATTAGTGTGAATGGTGAAATTGTTTCCTGGATGCCAAAATAGCAGACATTTCTGGCTTTAGATTTGTTGTCCCTAACATCAACAGTGACCTGAGATTATCATCGGACAAGTTTGTTCTCAAATTGTTCTTCACGTATTTCATTCTTGAAAATGTTTGTTCACACAGGTATGTTGTTCCAAAGATTGAAAGGTACCTTGATGCAAAAGTTTTGACATTAGGAAAGTCTTCCTTGGGCAAAAACTGGTAAAAACCCACCAGTCCTATTTTGAACTTGTCCCTAAGGAGGTCATTTGCTTGCAACTCAATGACTTCCAGCTGCAGTTCATCTGGGCAACTGGCCACATCTGCTTCAAATGGGTTTTGAAACAATCTCACTTCTTCTGCCTTTGAATCCAAAAAGGTCTCCACGGGCCGGATGAGAGGCCCTCGCGGGCCGCATCCGGCCCCCGGGCCGCAGTTTGGAGACCCCTGTCTTAGGGTATACGCTGCGCTGCGCCGCTCGGCGCTTCTCCGGGGGAGGGGCTGTCAGTGTGGGGAGTTTCTTCCCCGCCCCAGCTCCGCGGCGCTGCGCCGCTCGGCGCTTCTCCAGGGGAGGGGCTGTTAGTGCGGGGAGTTTCTTCCCCGTCACAGTCTCCACGGGCCGGATGAGAGGGCCTCGCGGGCCGCATCCGGCCCGCGGGCCGTAGTTTGGAGACCCCTGATCTAGAGAATGCTCTGCACTGTCTCAACTATTGGTACTGATAACTTCATTGTACCGAGTGAGCCTAGGATGCATGAACTCTGATATCCCGGAGACCTGGTGGGTGGGAAAGAACTGCAATCCCCATTACGCAGTACCAGGGCCCCGATAGCACCTTCAGCCGCCTGGAATTGCTGTTGGCACCAGTATTGTGTACTGACAATACCCCAGTTACTGCCACCCCTACCCAGTGACAAGTTTGACAGAGGCTAGGAGGAAGTTATGTCCCATTGTCAAAATACAAGGATCCTCCCCAGTTCCATTGAACCAACCCATAATCATGATATAGACATTTGGGGTAACCCCATCATACATGCCTCCCCTCCTCCATTGCCTTATTGCAATTCTTGGGCAATATACATCCATGTGTCACAACCATCCAGTGTATCTCAGAGGGAGTTCACCAGGGTGGAGGGAGCTTTTTCAGAACAGGAAGAAGAACACTTCCAGCAAATTTCTCCTTATCTGTACCAGAGGCCTCCCTTCCCTCTTCCCCATCACTAGGTGATGATCATAAGAACTTTAAGGATCTTGCCAAGATGGTGGCAGATGCTGATTCCCCTACAAGAGGTAGCAGATACACATCACAAATTGGGGGAAATTCTGCACACCTCTTCCTCAGGTTCCTCCCAGCATTGTCTCCATGGTGCTGCTTGCCCCCCACCCACTGCCTCTATCAGAGGCAGCGGGGGGGAGGAGGGAGGATAGGGGAGGCTGCTGCAAAGCAGCTTCTGACTGCGACGGGGTGGGGAGGGGCATTGTAGTCTTCCCACTCAGCCCCCTTTAAACAGTTAAAACAGTATGTTGAATCAATTAGCCAGTTAAATGGGATTTTACATCCCTATCATGAACCCGTCACAGCTAGATTTTTTATTGGGAGTCTCAGATCCTTTCCATCATTAGTAAAGATCAAACCTATATGTGACATCAATTGTGTTCTATTGTCACTCAGTAAGACTCCATTTTGAGTTTCTGGCCATGTGCATTTGTCCATGAAGAGAAGAATTTATGGTCTGGATGTTTGGAGGGCTTTGGCCTCTTATCTGCAAACAATAAGGAACACTAGAAAGACATCTAAATTGTTTGTTTCCATAGCAGAACAATCAAGAAGTCAGTCTATATTGGTGCAGAGACTTTCAAAATGAATCTTGGGTTATATTACCTTTTGTTATCAACTAGCCACAAGTCAAGAAAGAGATATGAAAAAATAATAAGTACCGGGTTTGGAATTCCTGATTCTTGGTATATGTGATTCACACTTACGCCTACTCTACATTGGAAAGTATTTTTGTTGTAATCTAAACTATGAATTATTAAGCTGGTAGAATGCTTCATTTGGACATGCTCTTGTTCCATTACTTTTATATTTTTCATATAGTTTGTGAAGATTAATAAATTCCAAGGCCAGAAAAAATATTGTGACCATCTAGTCTGACTCTGTGTATGACGTAGTTTATAGAAGTTACTCCCAAAAATTCCTAGAGCATATCTTATATAAAAACATCTACTCTTGATTTAAATACTGACTGGGATGGAGACTTCACCATGGCCCTTGATAAATAGTTCCAATGGTATTACTGTTAAAAATGTATTCCAAATTTCCTGTCTGAATTTGTCTAGCTTCAGCTTTCAGATACGGGGAGCTCATTTTCAAATATAATTTTTTCATATAGGTACTTGTAGACTATAATAAAGTCATCTCTTTACCTTTTCTTTGTTAAGCTAAGTAGTAGTAGTGGTAGTTTGGTAAGGGGTTCAACCTAAACCAAAAAAGGCACTTTTAAAATACTAGAATAAGAATTCCCATGGGGTGAGGGCTATGGGGGAGCGTTAAGGAAACGTGTTTCAGTACAGGTCTAGCTAAACCAGAATCAGAAAGAACCACGTTTTTGTGCAGACAAGGCCTAAAGCAGGGTTGACTCAGTACTTCAAATTTTAGAGGAGATTGAGTTTCATGGAACGTTAACTTTCTGTAAACTCTCTCTCGATTCCTGCCCTCCAAAGTCTGTTGCTGCTTTTTCCCTTCCTTAGCTGGAGGTATCTGTTTACTGTAACTAGAGCTAAAAACTGCTTAAAAGTCCGTAACAGCCAATTCACTATAGTCCTCTACCTTCTTCCATACTTGAGCTGTTCCTAGAAACATAGGCTCAGTTAAAAGTCTCAGTACAGCCTCTGGTCCTTCTAGAGTAGCTCAAAGTATCTCCCCTCTAAGGTTATGTTTACATAGCAGCTAGGCACCTGTGGCTGGCCTGTGCTAGCTGACTAAGGCCTACGGGGCTCAGCCTGTGGGGTTGTGAAGACATCTAAGCTCAGGCTGGACCACTGGCCCTGGGACCCTCACACCCCTTCAGGTTCTAGAGCTCATGCTTTAGCCTGAGCCCAGAAATCTTCTCAGCAGTGAAACAGCCCGGCAGGTTGAGCCACGTGAGCTGTAGTCACCTAGCATCAGGCTTTTCTTTGTTGTGTAGAAATACCGTAAGTGCTCCAGTCAGGCAGTAATTACATTTCTGGGACTATTGCCAGTGTCACTGGGCTACACTGACCTCATTTCCAGGATGCAGGTTGTGCCTCTTGTAAGACATTTTGAAAGGCAACATAGGGGCAGTCTTTCTTCTCTGAGTGGGTGGGACTCTTTTCTTTGCCTTGTAAAATTTTTTTTACTTGGGTTCAAACTCTGTACTAGGTTCAGTAAGCATTGATATTTGATGGTCTCTTTATGTCCTACAGAAATATCTAGTAACCAGATCTGCATAGGTGTTCAGGTACCATCATCTTGGGGACCATATAAGTACTTTGATAGAAACACGTTTTCTAACATATTATACAAAACCTTATGCTATGCTTACAATGTGTAGCTGCAGTGGGCAGAATTGGTTCTGACGTTATCAGGTTGCACAAAATATTGCAAATGCCTGATGTTTTTTCTGTTTGTTCCTCATTGTGTTAGCATGTGAGCAGAAGATTTCATGGCCTAAGTGGAAATTTGGTAAAAAGTGACTCTGGAATATGGATTAATGGGATGGACTATGCTGGAATAGCTCACATCACTCCTTATATACCTGAACTCAATGATACTATCAGAACTCATTGCGAGGAGAAGGCTCCTTTCTGTGGCTTTCCTTGGATTCTTCCTGTGCACTTTTTTCTCAGGTTAGTAGTTATGCTACTGCCTATTAGGGCCTATTGGAATTTTCCAAGATGCATCAGACACTTTTGCAAATGATCCATAGTAGGCTGTAGAGTAAAACTTATTTTGTAACATTTTTGTTGGTCACTGCTGCAAAAGGCTTTCTCTTTCATCACATTATAATACAGTGGTCCCCAACCTTTCAGGGCTGCTGGGCGCCTGGGGGCAGGACCGCTCACGCGCTGGGCGTCCGAGGGCGGCACCGTGCATGTGCCGTGTGCCCGGGGCAGGCGCTGACCATGTGCCACACGCCTGGGGCCGGCATCGTGCATGTGCCACACGCCTGGGGCCAGCATCGCGCATGTGCCACACGCCATGGGGCTGGGCCGGCCCTGATCATTCCGCGGGCGCACATAAATACCCCAGTGGGCGCCGTGTTGGGGACCACTGTTATAATGTCTCTGGCTACAAATTTTTGATCACAGAAACTTTAGGAGAAAACATTTGCTTACTCATTCTGCCCCTCCAAAGGTGGGAAATCTTAAATTTGGAAATCTTAAAATTCCTTACTGTATTGTTTTAGTTGGTTTTCCCTTAAGTTAATAGCTTGGATCAAAGAGAAAGAGGTGAGGAATAAAGGCATGGTGGAGGCAATCCTGTTGTTCACTGAGTGTCCTTTTAAATGTCTTGATTGTAGTCACAGACTGTTAAAGCATTGCTCTTCCTCTCTAGAATGTATTGCACTTGAACACTTTATTTTGTTATAGCAAGGCCAGCCTTGCTGTACAAAACTTGCATTTTGCCCAGTGTTTATATTTTAGCATTAATAAGGCACTTTGAAGTGTTGCGTTGAACTTAAAATACTTTTTATTGTAGAAAGAACTGGTATCTTCCTGCTCCAGAAGTTTCTCCCACAAACCCTGTTCACTTTAAACTTCTGGCCAAAGAGCAGATGCCATGGGATTCTACAAAGTTAACCTTTGAAGTATCAGGTGGGTGGCTATCAGCCTCTGATTTGTCATTGTTATGCTAACTACACACTTAAATTCTTTTATTGAAAGTGGCTATGCTAGCTCTAGGAATGCATAATTGGAAACTTTGCACCAACCAGTTCAACTTCCCAGGCATTTGAAAAATTGTGGCCATACTGTAATTATAAACTTAAAGTCTCATTTGAACATACAATTGACTTTTGTTAACTCGTAATTTTAATGCCCTATTTATAACTGTGCCTCTAGGCCATCACCCCCTTTATTTGTCTTGCTGTACAGGATCCAATGTAGCTTCTGCTACAGACAGCGAAGCTGCTTTGCTATGTAACTTATATTGAGTGATAACTGGCAGTACATAGGCTAAATCTCTCAGTACAAAATGAAACTGAACAGCTGATTGTGGCACAGAAGAACCCATGGTAGCTAGAATGCAGTAAAATGTGTGTCTCTTCACCCCCTTCTGCTAGTACATTCAAGTAAGTTTGCTGTCTGATATAGGTCCCAGTCACATGTCACTGTACATTCGACCACATGAAGGGTCAACACTCTCCAGCTGGTCTCTTGGAAATGGAACTCCTGTTGCTAATACAAGAGGCGATTATTTTGTGTGTTACACTCATGGGCTTCAGGCTGTGGCATGGCACTTCTGGATAGAGTTGAAGGTAAGGATTGAGCAAACTTCAAAATAAACCCAACTTGCTTTATTATATAGATTAACAGAAACTATATTTAATTTGTCTTTTAGTCTGTTCTCTGTGATACAAGGCTGTTCCTATATAATATATATATATAGGTAATGACCCAAGGCAGGGGTTCCATTATTTCCTTTGATAGACTATTTACCAGCCTTATATCTTGCCATTGGATTTTTTTTTATATTTCACTCAAATTTTCCTTTTCTTAATAGTATCTCACTGCTCCTAATTAGAGCTGTTTTGTTGTAGTCTAATTAAGTCCTCCGCTATGTTTACTTGCTTTGGGAAACTATGATTCTAAGTGGCAAATCCATTCCCTTAGAAAGAGGAGGAGTTACAAGCTTTGTTTTGCAACCTTCCTGTGAATGCTTTTATGGTGACCCTCTGAGCAATTCTCAGTTTATTTTCATTGGTAAATTTATATCAGACCAGGATATTCACCTGTCATCCTCCTAAACTTTCCCAGAAATAATTCACAGCATGCTTGGAAGCTTTTATTGCCACTGAATTTAAGATACCTGATTCTCTTGTAAACTTGTATGGGGAACTACCCAGGTTTAGCAAGGGTTCATTCCTGGATAAGGTGTTCTGATCACTTCACTAAATGATCTTCCAAGGTGGAATAAACTGTTCTTCATGAGTCATGAGCGTCCTTGCACCCTGTTGTTCCAAATAGGAGTCTGTTTCATACTAGAGTCTGCCAGCTAGACTAGGAAATTTTATTTTGTACCTGAATGTGACACTGAATTGTTGGGATGAGCATCCAAAATGTGTAAAATGCCCTGCTTTAATAGTTATGGTCGGGGCTGAAGTCCCATAGTAAACTGAAGGTGCGTTAGTTTCATTTAGTTGCTAGGAAAGGCATTCTGGTGCTGGTAATGAGTGAGCCCCACTGCGGGGCCCATCAGAATCTTGACAAGTAGATTGATCTGACAGGTGACGGAGCAGCTCTATTCACTCCAGACTTTGGCAGCTTTTCACAGTAAGGCAGTGTTCAGGCATGAAGATTCGCTTCCTTGTGTGTATTGAAGATTTGATCATAATGACCTCTTCAAAAATATGTGGCCCAAGTTCTGAGCATAGTTACATGTATTCATTTTTAAGTAAATGGCATTGTACATGTGCAGTGGAATACAGATCAGCTGGGATATCGGGTCAATACTGATACTTCTGTTGACATGCTGTTGTATCCGGGATCTCCATTCTTCAAAGAATCTTCTGTGTGATGGTAAATTGATTTTATATCACATTAGATAATACTGCTGGTATCTTTTAGAAGATATTAAGAAGGCTTTTAACTTATTGGACACTAGCTAGCTTGTAGGAAGACATTCAAAAGGGTGTCTGAAATTAAATGTATCTGGAAGCTATGAAGCAGCCAATGTAAAAGTAATGCTTGATAAATTTGGCATTGCCTTTTCTCACTTTCAGACTGCAGAAAAGCACTCTGATGGAATGGTTTCCCTTGCCATAGCAGCACATTATTTCTTTGGAGAAGATCAAAAGTCACCTCAGCTGTATGCCCTAATGGAGAGATTTCCAAACTGGACGTTTCCTTCTGGTTGGGTCTGTACCTATGACCTCTTTGTCTTTTAGTCTCGCAACAATGCAAAGAGATCAAATTAAGTCTCACTGTGAGAGAAGATTCAACTTTCCTTCATGAGTTCATTCTGACAAGGTGCAGAAGTTTGTTTTCACAGTTCAGGGAAAAACATTTTGGGCACAAGTTTGTTTCTGTGGTAGCTTGACTTCTTAAAGGATAAGTAGGGTTCCCATCCTTTTTCTTTGGAAGTGGGCGGTCTTGCTTTGTGGGGCTGGGAGAGAAGTGCCTCCTTATCTATGCAGCTCTAATTCAGCTTTCTCCTACTGATGAGACAATTTGACTAGTGCAAAATTAACATGAAGACTTGAATTGGAGGAAGTACCTATATAGAGGTACTTATGTGTGCACTTTGTAAGTGAGGGGTCTTTGTGAATGAATTCCTACAATCTTTTAAAATCCTCCCCAAGGTTAGTCATCCTACCTTGTCCTATTAAAATAAAAAGGCTTTGTCTAAAATATTTTTGATTACGTATGTAAAGGATTATGTACGTAAAGGACTTTTTCTGAGTAAGTATTACTGTGATCTCTGGATGATGCTTGTTTTGAAGTAGTCAATTAGGCTATGTTATGTACTTCCAGTTCTTGGAAAAATTCAAAATTTCATGCCATGGAATTTGATGTTAAATGTGTTACTTAGATCATTAACAACTCTCCTTTTCCTGTCCTCTACTGTTCTGTTTTGAAGATTTTTATTGGTCACTTCCTTTCTCTGTCCTTTTGTTAACTCTTTACTCCAGTGATTTTGAGTGGAGGAAATTTGATCAAATCATAGAGTCTTCTACTTATTTCCCTGTTAGCATCTTGCAGCCTGTTTCAAGTATCAACATTTAGACTAGACTCATATGTGAGATGTAAGCATGAGGCATTGTCTTGTATGTCAGAGCACTGAGCCCCACACTGGCCTTTTTAGTTAGAATCTTGTAGCTGCTTAATTACTAGTTTCTAAATCAATGTTGGTATAAATTTCTGTATATTTTTGATAAGTACTTTTGTGTAGATTTTCTTGGTTGTTGAAGGATAATTCATTTCATTTTACTTCATTAATATTTTGGTTCGATGTTTAATTTTTTTTAAAAAGTGCTTTTTCCTTAAGGATTTGTGTAACTATCGTGAAAAGAGATTTTTTTAAAGCACATGTAGCATCTGGTATTTGTAGAAAACTATTCTTAACTTAATCTTACAGGGTTAAATTTTCAAAAGCATGTAAGTGATTTAGGAATACAGCTCCAATTTTGAAACCAACAGGACTTGTGCTCCTAAGTGAGCTATGTGATTTTTGAAAACTCCACCCCTATAGAAAAGTGCAGCCAGCCCCCAAAAAAACAAAAAAAACCCAAGCCCTTCGATTTTATTTTTCTAAACTGTGTGTAGGTTGGGAAAGTAGGAAAATTGTTATTGTTGGGGAGCTTTTTCCAAATTAATTCCAGCAGTTTGTGCTGATCATTCTGTAACACATGGTGTAAACTTGGTGCTTTGTTCACCTCATTAAAAATTGCCAAATTATATGCACCAGTTCTTCTTGTGTAGGCACTAGTTAAAGCAACAAGCTGCAAGGTTGGGGATAGCTACACAGTGAGAAATTAGAGCCTGAGATGACATTCCTCATGACCTCACTTGGCCCTGAGGGATAGTAGCTCTCATGATCAGGTCTATTGGCTTTCTAATTTAACCATTCAGTTATTAGAATCCGAATGGAACAATTCAGTATATTATGAGGAAACATTTATAGGGTGTTCCATGACTGAGATTCTCATAGACCAATTAAAGTATATAGTTGTTTTGGATTGTATATTGCACAACTTAAACAAAATCAACAGACTATCACCATTAGTTCAGCAGCACCTAGTCTTTCATGTATAGTGCTTATCCCTATAAAGAGGGGGGAACGATTAGCAATCCTAATACTTTTACAAAAGTAACTGAGTAACTTCAAAATAGATTTCTTAAATGTATAATAAGTCTCAGTAAATGCAGTGTTTTGTACTGCACATTCACCAGAGTTAAGCTTGATTAAGGCTGTACCGGAGGCATTCACTGTGTCTTCTCCAAAATGGATAATTTTTGTGCCTCTGCCTTGTAAACTTAAAAAAAATGCCAAGAGTCTGTGGAAAGGGGAAAATATCCACATGCAGTATATTGGTAACTTTTGGAACTTCAGTGCAGCAATAATTATATTTTGTTTCTGCAAGAAAAAGTAAAATGACATTGCTAACTCAGGATCACCCTTTATTAAATTGTCGGGGATGTCTGATTATTGTGAATTTCTGCCTTACTGAAAATTAAACTTGACTGTTTGTTTAACATGCAGATTCTGTTACTGGAATATTGTTTTTGTTTCTAGCACTGCAAGCCCAAACTTGTTACTTAAGTTCCGAGACAAAAAACTACTGTTGAGACTCTGGGAATTACAATTACTGGTAAGACATGGCAAGACCAAAGAACATAAAATGTTCTCAGATACCCAGACACATTCCATACCCACACTTGACTAAGTAGGTAAACCTGCTTAGCACAGCATAGGTACAGTTTAGGGATGTCAATGTGTAGGTGTTTACACAATTAACTGATAAGCCTGGGCTTAGAGGTAGCAAGGAAGTGTGTGCAGGTGCTGATTTGCATAGGGAGCTGCCTCCCACAGAGGCAGCAGCATATGGGTGGGGAGCAGGAGGGAGCTGAGGCTTGCCCTCCCTCCCATCCCCCTATGCTGCTGTCTCTGATAGGCAACACATATGAGAAGCAGCTTTGAAGCTGACTTCCTGTGCATATCTGCTCCCACAGATCCACCTGCTTCCTGTGCTGCTGCCTCTTTATCAGGGGCAATGAGTTCAGGGGAGGAAGAGCGCCTGCCTGCCCCCTGTATGTAAATGTGTAACTGCTAACATTTTCAGCAATTACATGTTTATACAAATACCCAGTAGTTAACATGTTACAGTAGTATACAAATAGCCAGTATATATGGCTAGTATAGTGTGCTGAATTGTTTAGCAAGTGTCATGGTTAATTGGCTTCTAAAAATTAACTGGGCACAAATGACATGCAGGTAATCATAGATGCCAAAATGACAGTGGGATTCAGGTATATGGGTTATGCTGAATAAAAACTGTTTGTATATATACTAATGCAGTTTCTTCATATGAAAATTCTATGCAAACTGTTCTGTATTAGCTTTTTCTTTTAACTCTCCCTTGCCACTAGCTCCTAATAAGGTGCACTATTGGACTTGTCTACCTCTTAATTAAATTGCAATATACCCAAAGGCTGCCACTGATGTGCACGGAGTTGAAAGATAAAGGTGCACTTTGGTGGAAGCTTTACTTACAGTGGTGCACTAAGCAACTAATGGATTAATTGTTTCATTTGAGGTGGGAGAAGTTTCTTGATGTCTTCTTAAAATTGCTTTCTGTAAAAGTTCTAGCCTAAATGATACTCTTGAAAATACTTATGTGGTAAGTCTTAATAATTTAAACCTTTTGCATTGGTGTGTTTATTTATAAACATGTTTCAAAAGGCAAACAGTTAATTACCACACAGTAAGTCTGGGTCTGTGCCTAGGTGATAATTTTAGCTAGAAGTGTGTGTTTGGTGCTATGGATGTGCTCTTCATGCCACCGGTCCTGCATATAGAATATCTTGAAGAACCACAGTTTGTTAGGTATGTAACCATTCTTTCTGAATATTTGCACATGTGGATCCCACTTTTGGTGATTTACTGAGGGTTAAACTCCTCTAGGATGTGAGAGATGGGAACCTATTGTAAAGACTAATACTGCTTGACCCAAAGTGGGCAGTAAATATGGCTGCTGGCTTTACAAATTGTAAATTAGGCTAGAAAATCCCATGGTTAACCTGCTCTTCTCTCCTACATAATACAGGTTCTGAGTACCCAGGAACTAATTCCTGCTTCAATTCCCTAAGCAAGGTTTGACTAGACCAGTGGTTTCAGTCTGTGGTTTGCCATTTGTTTAAGTGATCAGCAGCATTTAACTCTGAGTGGCTCCACAAGTGCACATCTTAAGGAAACACTGACCACATCCCATGGTAAATTGTTCCTCACAGTTTAGTCTGTAGAGCTTGAGCTTCAAGACCTAAAATTATATTTCTTTGCTAAACTGAAGAGCTATCACATTTGTTTACCATATGAGTAGTTTAGCGTCTTTAAGTCTTATGCACTTTTTCCAATAATTTTTGTAGCTCTCTTTCAATTTAGCTCCATTTCCAAGTTGTGGAGGCAGCTGCACCAATGCTAATGTGGTAATATAAATTTCCTACTTCTGCCTGTAAATCCAAGGATTGCATCAGGTCTTTGCTACAGTGATGTTCATGTTTAGCTGATTATCCACCAGATTCTTAGTCTCACTGCATCTCAGGATCGAGTTTCCCCTATCAGCCTGTGAGTATGACCTTACGTCTGACAACTTTCAAATGCATATTTTTCAGATAGGTCCAAACAATTGCAATATTTTGGTATCTGTGATCCACTGTCACTATAATCCAAACTGTCAATAATTGTTTTTCCAGTTCATCAAGCATTTTACTAGAGGAATAGGCTTGAGCCATATGCATGTCTATTGCAACTGTCAATCCTAGCATAAGGTAGATGAGGAAGTAGCTATCTTTTATTGGACCAACTTTGGGTGGCAAGAGAAACCTTTCCAAATGTATACAAAACTCAGTTTAAGAAGCCATGTTCACGTGGTACCCATTCTATTTCAAGTCCAGATTTTTAAAGCTATTGAGGCCCATGAGTCTAAATTCCACTAATATAGACAGAATGCTTGAATAGCTTTTGAAAGTAAGATATAGGCTTCTAAATTAGGGGATGGCAATGTGTAGATAACTACACAATTAACTGATAAGCCTGAGTTTATTGGATAATCCTGTTGACTACACAGGCATTCTTTCCCTCCCATCCCACCCCTGCACTGCTGCCTCTGATAGAGGGAACAGGTGCGAGCAAATACATACAGGAGCCTGCTTTTTTAATATATGTATGGTCCTTAAACATGATAATGCTACATCCAATGTGGTAGATAGATAATTATATTACATTATGTAAAATTCTAAGTCTACATAAGATAGCCAGCAAGGCTCCAGCTTGTTACTGATGCTTTTAAACAAGTGGAAAGTCTAGATAGCATACTTACAAGATACCATTAGTGGAGGACATTTGAAATTAGATTAAAATTTGCCTTTCCCCAGTATTCTTGGTTAATGCTGTAAGTTTAGTATTGACTTGACTAACTTGTTCAGTTTTACACTCCTGGTCATAAGTAATTTGCTCATTTTAACAAAATCCTTGCCATGGGTTAATGAATAAATGTAGTCAGGGCTGAGGAAAGTACACTACATTCTAAGAAAGGGTTCAGACTGGCTTGTATTAATGTGATCATGGCAGGTGATGGTTGCTGCAATGTCTTCTGTAGCTGTTCAAACTACATATAAAACAGCACTACTGCAATACAAACAGTTCTTGAAGGGGGAAATTAAAAGGTTTAAGATAGTGATTCTAAACCCGGAGTACTAATACCCCTGGCAATACATCAGCTCATCTAGAGATCTGTCCAGTTTTACAACACACTACATAAAGTACTAGCAAAGTAAATACAAACTAAAATGTACATCAAGGAGGGATAGCCAAGACACTGAAATAAGTAAATATTTTTATTTTATGATAAATGTATGCAATTTCATTAATAGGTTTTGTATTTTTGTGTCTGACTTTGTAAGTGAAATGTAATTTGGCAGACTCTTGAAAGGTTGACAGGCTGTGGCTTTAAGTAAAGGAATATTTACAGCACAAAGTAGAGCAATAGCTGCCCATTTTAAATTAGTATAACTGAAGGACTTTTGTTCCAAGCTCACTTCAGGTGAGGACAGATCTAGCTTAGATTCCTATAAAAAAAATCTAAATGGTAGATTTTTTTTATAGGAATCTAATCTGAATGTCTGTTCTGACTTTTTTTTCCTCCAATCAATTAGTGTGGCATTTAATCAACCATGGGCGAACAAGTTTTGAAAAAGTCCAAATTATCATTATGCACTTACAATTCAGTCAGTTTTACTTGCAGCACTTAACATATAATGTTTGGGTTTTAAAGGCCCGAAACTTTTATGACTGGCAGTCTTCATAAAATGAAATATTTCTGTACCAAGTTTAAATTGGACTTTTTCCTGAGTTAAAGGAATAGTCATTCACCTGTAGACTTTTAATAATAAAACTGAATACTACCGTTATGTTATTAAAGTACCCTAATTTGGATGGAAGAATGCACTTCAGAAAACTGACATTAATATGCTTTACTAGGCAGTTAGGTGGCCCTCTCTAGCTATACTACTTTAAGTTATGCAGCCAAAACATAAGTGGTTTGTTTTACCTTCCAAAAAACTTTCAAAGGCATTTACACCTAAAGCAGACACCATTAAAACCTAAAGAAGAAAGTGTGCAAACAGCCACTTATTTCACCCTTACGCATATTCTTCACGCATGAGACAGGGCAGATTTTATTTTCAGAATTTGAATGGGAACAACAGCATTGTGGCAGACTGTGCTGTAACTACCACATGGTAAATCAATACATAATGTAATAAAAAATTAGCAGGGCTTTGTATAAAATTAGTCATGTTGCATTATTTTGTTCAGATTGCACAGTACAAACAAGCTAGTATCTAAATTTAATACTGTTACAGGTATAATATTACATACACTGGGGGACAGCAGCTAGGAAAATAAGCACCTCAAAGCAGCTATGAGACTTCTGCAGCCAGCTTTTTCATAACAGTATATGAAAGTTAAAATAAAGTCTTATGTTTAGTTACAGTATACACATTATAAAATGTTTGAAAAAAGTATGCACTACTTACGTATTACTAAAATTTAGTAACAGTACATAAGTGATTCTATTTACATAAGAAATCCATTCCTGGGAATGGAATTTACAAATGAAATAAATAAGAACCTTCCATAATCTTAAAATTAATTGTAGGTCAGAGTGGCCCAGGATAAAAAAAAAAAGCCACTTTTAAAATGTTACTCTAATGATAGTCAGAGTAAAAAGTATGCCACATCCAGAAGGAAGGGCAACTCTGCTTTAATTTTACCAGATAGCTATAATCATGCAAAATACACAGGTGCCTTCAAATATGGTACAATCCCAGAGCATGAACTGTACCCTTGATAATATTTACACAAGAATATTCACAAAAACATACACCTCTTTACAATTCTTTAATACAAAAAATAGTGATATTAAACAGTATAATCTATTAAACACTTAGATCCCAGTTGAATCTGAATCTGCCATAACTTT